CCCCAAAACCCCAAAACCCCAAAACCCCAAAACCCCGCTTAGTAGCAATAAATTGAATTTTTTAGTAATTTTAGATGTATTTGACTGGGATTTTGCTCTTCTTGAGGTCTGCTTTAAGGCGGTTAGGAAGGATTAGTGAAGGTGTCTCTGGTCTGAGCTCTGGATTGGGTCCTGGCTTCGGCCCTGGAGGAGAGCAGGTTGTACCTTCGGTAAGCGAGGCATGGGTAGAGGAATAGGAGGGCGAAGGAAATGTTAAGGCCGATGAAGACGAGGAGCCAAACTCATAAGCAGGAGAAGATTAGGAATGTTGTAGGAGAGCATCATTTACAAGGCTTTTTAGTGTTGTCTTCTCCTCCTGACCCTCTGAAAGGAGCTATAAGGACTAGAGAAGGCCATAGAAGGATGTCAAAAATGAGCACGAAGATTGCTAGAATAATGTAGCAATCAGTAGCTTTGGAGTAAAATGTTCCTCAAGCAAAGAATGGGTTCCGAGGGTGTGAGGACCAGTAATTTGCTTTACAAAACCTTCAGAATTTCTTGTCTCATACAATACATGTTACTCCTGTTTTAGTTTTATCAAATTCATTCCAAGTGTATCATTTTGGACATTGAGCCTATAAAATATTTATGAGAAAGATCAAAGAATCGTATTTATATTCACACCAGACTTTGGTATAAACAACTTAAATGTTCACCATCTAGAGGTTCTTCCTAGTTCTTTTATCTGTAATTTCTTGCAAAGGATGAACAAAGAAGCTAGTATAATTAAGAGGAGTAGTAAAGACCTCTAGAAGCCCTTCTTATCTGAAATACTATCTACTCTAGCAGTTAGTTAACCTTATGGCATTGATCAAGGAGAAAGGTCGTAACAGTTTAGGTTTAAGTTCCTTTACAACAAATCCTTTGCTAGGTTCATCAGTTGAGCTTACCTTCTCTTCTTTACGTCAAATATGTCTATTTGAATTGCCCCATTCATGAAATCAGTCGATTCAGAACTCATAGCCACAAGTACAGACGGCTTTGGTCGGGTTATCGATTATTTGCCCTTCGCCTTTAAGTCAGTTCGTTCAGAAGTATTTGTAGACCTTGCGTTCCTCAGGAACTTTCACTGGCGCATGAGGCTTAGTGTAGTCATCAGCTGTAGGTCTGACTGGCCCAGCCAAATCAAGCCGATGCTCAATGTCGTCAGGCTGAACCTCTTGACGAAGAATGTTCTGAAGCCAAGGCCCTTCGATTCTTGACATGCACAGAGGACAAAGAGGAGAGTTCTTGTTCTGGAGCTGAATTTTTCAGAAATCTTGGATACATTTGGTACAAAAAGTATGAGCTCATGAAAGAGTATATGGATCAACTATTTTGTCAAGATGGATCATGCATTCTTGCTCTTGTTTGGTCATTTTGTTCAATTATTATAAAATACCGAGGGGTTTTGGGGTTTTGGGGTTTTGGGGTTTTGGGG